TGCTACGCGAGGACGGCCTTACCCTGTTTCGACGAGCCGGACTTCAAAGCTGTGTTTAACGTGTCAGTGGTTCACTCAAATCATCTCAAGGCTTTGTCAAACGCAGAGGCTAAACATACACATGATCTCGGGTAGAGTATGAACTTTTTCGCATGCCAGTCACTGTATCGTTGACACACTTTTACAACACGAGATATATTTTTTCAGAAACGGGTGGAGCAGGACGACTTTCTTCCCAACACCAAAGATGTCTTCTTACCTCTTGGCATTCGCCGTATCTGATTTCGTCGATAGACAGTCGAAGTTATATCCAGAAGTTCTTGTGAGTAGATGCTTAGTAGTGCAGCGACCTCTGGCCCACGAATGCCGTTTCATTTCAGTTCAGGATCTGGACTCAGCCGAACGCCTACCCCGCAACCGAGGTAGCGGCACAAGTGGGACCGCGGCTGATGAGGCACTTCGCTGAGAGGTTTCAGCAACCCTATCCTTTGCCTAAACAGGGTACGAACTGATGCTGTGACTCGGTCGATGACGCATAAACACCTTGGCGTTTGCTTAAGACATGATGGCCGTTTCTCAAATGCTGTCAGGCGCAATGGAAAACTGGGGACTGATCATCTACAGTGTGGAATCGCTTCTCTACCGCAATGAGACATGCTGGCTGAAAGAATACGACGGATTGTTGAACGTTGTCGCCCACGAGCTGTCTCACCAGGTAAGCAACGCGACTGCGAGTCGATCGATGAGTTACAAGTTTTTACCCACAGTGGTTCGGTAACCTGGTTACGATGAGGTGGTGGAACGACTTGTGGATGAACGAAGGCTTTGCGACGCTATACGAATATCTGGCACCGGTACAGTTGGAAAACAATAAGAACAAATGGGTGAGTACGAGTAGACGGCTGATAGATCAAGTATGAATAAATACAACGAATAAATTTGTATATTTATGTTTTCTTCCTTTTCCTTGCCTCATCCTATCGCATCAGAAATAACCCACGGAATCGTATAGGCATTCGATCTGATCGAATAAAGAGTACTCTGCACTGGATCCCTCCAATGCCATGTCGGTTCTTGTAAGATCTTGCCATCTTTTTGCAGACCTTTTTAGTGGCAACCTGCCATAACGTTTTGCGTTCTATATACAAAACGGCTTTCATCCATTTGTTAATAATTACCGCCAATTTTTAAATCCCCCGTTTGTTGTCAATCGGTCATTTTGGTTCCATATGGTTGTGTAGCAGCTCACCGACCAGATCTGCTGCAGCGGAGGCCCATCAGTCATCAGCCGCATGAAGATGTTTTAATAAATGGTTGATGACAACGCACAAAGTCTGTCCGTCGAGAAGCTTCTATTCGACCTCAGCACACGTACGCTCTAGCACCACCGCGATAGCTTTATCTGTAACGCTGTACATCGTCTGTAACATCGTCACAGACCAATCCCCTTTTGCGAGCCTGCCACCAAGAACTTAGGGGATCGTAGGCACCGCAGATTAAGAAAAATGGTCGTTTCGTTGATTGGCTCTTGTTTCCGGTCTTGGACCCGCCCAACCTTCCGGTTTCAGATGGATGCTACGGTAGCGCGGCAGTGGCCTGTTAGACTAGTATCTCCATTATGACTGCGTGTGACAATAGACTATACTACCTCATTCCCAATATGATCCTTAATTCTTTACGAGAATCAAAAAAGGAAAGTTTGTAACCGCTACTATGCGGATCTTCTTTATATTTTCATGATTGGGCCATTTCTGGAATTGATTTTTTGCGGAGCTAACGGTAAGGCCCTGATCTTCATTTCCATGCCATTAGCCAAGAGTGCCTTATTTTAAAAGCAGACTCGATAGCAGCTGTGTAGCAGGAATAAAGTGCTGTCTCTTGTTTCTTTTCCATTAAGTAGTATTCATATATCATCTTAGGATGGATGAAAGACTCGTGACCCAGACCGAGTTCGAAGTTGACCAATCAGAAACTGTATCATTAAACCACGGAATCGAACTACCTCAGAATCACCTACCTCAGACTTTGTTTCTCACAGTCGTTGCGAGAGAACTAATTGAGTAAACGAGACCTTCAACAGGACCTCAGAATCAGACAAGGCGATTATTTGGCGACTGAATATTCCAGTGAGAGAGGGCTAGTTCAGGTACCATGTTTCTCAATATTGAGAATCCTCTTCGAACTCTTTATATTTATGGCCTGAAGAAGACTCGCCCTCGCCGACTGCAGCGTGCAGGTCTCAGTGACGACTCATTGGCTGTCTTAAGCTAAGAATGACAATGAATGATTTTTTATTCTAGACAATGCTAGAACAATGACGCAGATATTTACACATGGTCAATTTCAGGATGGTCTGTTCGTTCTCGATATCGTGCAGCCAGTTTTGCTAAATGATCAAATGCCTTGGGCACGTAGCATATATGAAAACGTTCTGACGCCGTTGCAGATATCTACTCTTTTCGATGACACCACGTACCAAAAAGCAAAAATAAATTCCCTCACAGAATTTATGTGTGCATATAACTGGATGCTTTAGGGTGGCTCTGTTTTGCGAATGCTTCGGTACAAATTAGGCGCCAAGATTTTCGACAAATGCGTGCAGGTATATCATATTGATAATGGCTCATGCTAAAAGCATAACAGTTTAGCACTACCTCAAAAAATACGCTTATCGAAATACTGATCATGATCAGCTGTGGGAGGCAATGAACGAGGTAGAAGATTGTTAACTCTTTCTGCATTTCTAATTGTTGTTCAGGTTATCAGCAAAAATCCGGGCAGGGACCCGAATTTTCATATCACTGAGGATATGGATAGCTGGTTTACTGAAGCAGGATATCCTCTTCTAACGGTTGAACGCAACTACAACAGCGGATCAGTCATCATATCCCAAAGGCGGTTTTTACTCAACTCAACCGAGGAGAATGAGTAATTGATTTAAACTTATGGAAATTTCTAATTGGCAAGTAGAAATTAAAGAGCCGTAGATGATTAAACTTAGTTTATCTCTTGGATTCCGTGATCATTAATACGAATAATAGAACATAAAGGTACCTCATGTTAAAATTTTCAGCAGCTGGTTCCATTTTCAGTATAATTCTATACCTCTTTTGTATATTTCCCTCTCAGGGCGATCTGAATTTCACAACTTATATGCATTTGAGTTTATTGCCTGAGGAAAAAAACAATCAAGCAGATTCCCTGCTATGTCTCTTAATCGAAAGAACATGAAGCTTGTAACCGTTAGGATGTCGATCTCCACTAGACTTCAATTATTGGCGTCTTGCGTTTCACAGAGCTTATGGTGCGGAGCTAATATCCATCTCAGTGTCATCAATCAGGACGTTGTGTATTAAAGACAATATCCACGACCATCTGAGGACTGTAGCGAGGGTTCCTGTATTCCTTGGTTCCTCTCAAACAAATTGGGAGCAAGTTATTTACCTCAGAAAAACGAATGGTAGGCGAAACAACCAGAACTTACCACGTGACCCTCTTTGGGTCGACTGAGCAACCCAGTTCTCAACTGATATTTTTCTCATTAATTATTCCAACGCTGAACAAACCGTCTAATACGTTTGTCTCGGCGAAACGAAACGATGAATGGTCATCTAGGCAGACTGACTCATTTTTCATAAGCGAAGTGAACTGTTTCCAATGACGAGTACTTTTGAGCAAACTGAGAAAAATCAACTCCACCAAACGTCGACTTCTTAAGCTATTGTGTACTTGGGCTGCTGTGTCTTGAACTACGGAGCTTCGAAAGTGGAGAAGTACTGCCTAAAATGGAATAAGTCCACATTCGCTCAGCTGCATATATTCATTTCTCTTCTAGG